AAAAGTTACACCATATTAGTATTATTACTCTTAATAATACACTATTAAGTGTATTATTATGTAATATATAGAATATCTTAATATCTAGGTAGGCCTACTTTATTTTAATATACCATTAGGCCTAAATAATAAACTAAGCAACTTTGTCTAAATAAAATAAAATAGGCCTAGGGCCTAGTTAATAATAAAGAGCATATAGGCCCTATCTATAGTGGCTATAGTATAGGCCTATATATTATATATATGTCACATGTGTGTATATATAGGCCCTATACACATACAATTATAAATAAAGGCATAGGCCTATATGCCAATGTTTCAATACTAATAATTTAATATTACATTAATTAGTTCTACTATTTAGGACTAAAAAAACTTTTTTGTTAACTCTTAATTATGTAAAAACCATATCAAAAGTAAATGTAAATTTTTATCAAATTTTTTTTTTTTTACATCTGCTTCAGTTTTAGTTTGACGGAGGCTAGTGACTAAAATAAACTAGGTTGTTAAAATAGTTGAACAGACTACTGTTGACTGGCATTTGCTAGAAACATCAATTACATTTTAAAAAAAAAAATATTCAGAAAACATTTTGATCTATAGATCTATCTCTTTAATAGAAAGTGCTAATGAACGAATGGTTTTGAAAAAAAGATTAAGATTTAATATAAAAATGTGAAATGTATTACAGATTCCAAGTATGATGGGAAGCCGGAGGCAATGTTGGTGTGGGCACCGTCACCAAATTTGTCAGATGCTAAAGGTAGTGGTAGGCATAGCAGTTTTTTTACATGTTATTTTGAATATTTTCTAAAGAAATCTCTTCGGTTAATTTTGAACTCATTAAACTTTCAAGGCCTTCTTTGCCATGAATTGCAGATTTTATGTTATTATATGATAATTGATATTTTGTGTTGTATTTAATTTTCTGTATATGTAACAATTAAAAAGTCAGCCTTTTTAAGATTCATAGATAGGTATTTTTATACCAAGTTTTACTTATCTGTATGATACTCGATTTAAATTTTAGATTTGCATTTTAATAATATTTTGACATCATTTTGATAGTTCTTATGCTTTTGATAATAAAAATTAAAATAAAATAAATAAAGTAAACAAGAATATAACTGTTGCATATATTCTAACACTGCTGATTTAACTCACATAACGTCAATTTTTCAGTTGATGAGTATATCAGAATAGCAAAAGATCTGCATGATTACAACATGGAACAGGTATAATTTTAGAATAAGAAAAATAGTTTTATGTCCAATTAGTGCTTGTTATTAAAAAATAAGTTATAGCTTTCACCAGTACTGAATAATAAATGTCAAAAATATTTATAAAATAGGTACAACTTGTTTTATAGTACAAATAATGATAATTTTTAACAGTGAAAATTCATATTGCTAAATAGATTTTTAGTTTTAAAAAGTTTCTTTGGGATCACCTTATAACTATTTTATTTTTAGGCTTTAGGAATGCTTTTTTGGCATAAACATAACATTGAACGAGCGTTATCAGATCTGCCCAATTTTACCCCTTTTCCTGATGAATGGTCTGTTGAAGACAAAGTTCTTTTTGAGCAAGCTTTTGGATTTCATGGCAAAAGTTTTCATAGAATAAAACAGATGGTCAGTTTGAAGTGTTTTAATAATATTATAAATACTTGTTTAAATATTCACTGTAAATAAAGTTGTGTTTAAACTATGTTTCTCCATGGTTTTTCTAATGTTTTTTAGTTGCCAGACAAACCTATATCAGCACTTGTAAAGTATTTTTATTCATGGAAAAGAACTCGCTCTAGGTCCAGTGTAATGGATAGACAGGCAAAAAGACTGGGAAATGGTGCTGAAAGGTAGATTTTTATAATTTCTAATATCATTTTTCTTCAAAGCTAATTTTTTATGGAACTCAATAAATAGGCCTAACTAAAAATCTCTGGGAATAATACATTTAATTTGCCAAATTTGGATGTTGTAGTGTATTATATTTCAATATCATTTGCATGTGGCTAATCATATTTTGACTAGTAAATTTCCACAAGATTACATAACTATAGAGAAATTTGTCTTAAATGTTTAAATTCTCTTTTAAGTGATGATGGATCTGAGAACACTTCCAATTCTGATGAGGAAGAAAAGAGCAAAGAAAATGTAAGTTTCAAACTTTCAGATTTGGTTTAAAGTTGGTACAAGGCCAGCATTACTGTAATTATAAGAATGCACTCAGTGTTAGCTGTATTGTTAACAATTTAAAAATTTGATCACAAGTATGTAATTAAAATATTGTTCCTGCTTTCTTTATAATTAATAAAATGTTGGGATTTTTTTTTTAGAAAGATAAAAACCGCTGTGTGAATTGTGGAGTTGTTACCTCACAATTACATGTAACTCCTAAAGGATCACTGTGTCATAGCTGCTATCAATACTGGAGGTAAGAAAGGTGTATTCAAACATTCTGGTTTTGAAATTAAGTTTAAATTAAATATTATTGATGCTTTGTATACTATTTCATAAAGAGGATTAAAACTTAACTACCAACTATCCCAGTTTAATGTTTGTAGAGAATTATTCTTGAATACAATTTTGAACAATCAATTTTTTTGTTGATGCTTATTAGTTTTGCTTTTGTGTTAAGGAGAACTGGAGTTATGCGATCAGCAGGTCCCAAACGCCATGATTCTCAAAGTACAGGGAGGCATAATCCAATAAAACATAAACGCAAACCACCTAAAGGGATGTACTTAGATCAGAATGACTTACTAGCAATGGTTTCTGGTCCACCCAATCAGCCTGAGGCTATACTCAAGTCACTTGACTCTGAGCTGATTTCCCTTAAGCGGATGGTTCAAAATAACAAACAGATGCTAGGTCAACAAAAGCACAAACTTGGTACTGGAGTGGATGATTTCAAACCGCCAGAAGTAAGTTTGCAACTTGTCATTGACAGTCATGGCTTTGCTGTGATTCTCTTTTTATATTTTCTTGGATTTAGAATTTAAAAAAAAGCTTCATTAGCAGATATGCCTGCTACACCATTATGCGTCTCATGCCATTTTACATGTGTAACGATTACATAGCTAAATAAAAAAATCAGCAGAATATTATATTTTAAAAAGTTAAAATGAACAAAGTGGGAAATTTGTACTATTGTCTGATATTGAATCAAAATAAACATCTTTTTACAATACTGATAAAAAGATGTAGTCCTGGCTTGTTCAATTGCTTCAACTTTTAATTATTTAGACAGATTCACCTTGTTTTCAACAGCTATTACTGCTAGTTACAATATAGTTAGTTTAAACTTTATACTTGTCTGCTTGATTATTAAAATTTCTAGTAAATAAAATAGTTAGGAACATTGTAAGCACTGTGATTTGATTTTTTTTTTTTTAGAAATTTATTTCTTTCTTTAAATTTTCTTTTCAGTCTGGATTCCGTATTAATGCTAGGTGGACAAATGAAGAGTTACTCTTGGCTGTTCAAGGTAATCCTTTTTTCTGAAATTATTTCAATGTCAAGAATAATCTCCAAATAAATAATTTTTGCTATGAATTTTAAGAGCTCATCTTGTTATATTGATCAAGTAGTACAAGTTTCTGAAAAGAAAACTCTTCAGGAAACATGTGTGATTTTAAACTTACATATTTACATATTTCTTGAATTTATAACAATTCTTTTTCATAAACATTCTATTATTTCTTAGGTGTGAGAAAGTATGGGAAAGACTTCAAAGCTATAGCGGAGGTGATAGGCAACAAGACTGAAGCTCATGTTAGAAGTTTCTTTGTTAACTTTCGTCGCCGATATAATTTAGATGAAGTCTTGGGTGAATATGAAGCAGAGCATGGGAAATCAGAGTGGGCTAAATCTGATAGTGGAAAAGAGGAAGAAGATGAAGTAAAAGAAGCAGAAATGAAGGTTGGTCCTAATTTTTACACACAAGTTTTTTCTAATCAATAATTCAAGTTTAAATTTTAGTATTGTTTGTAACTTTTAAAATTAATTCCATTATTATAGATGGATGTAGATTCTTCTGAGACCAGTGTAAATGGGAAAGCCAGCACTCCTCCAGAAAACTCTGAAAACCCAGCTAAAAACCTAAACATTACAGGCAAAGATTCAGGGGATGGGATCATTACCCAGACAGTCATTACATCATCAACAAAGTAATGAAGCCAAGTAATTAAAACTATATAGATGTTAACTTAAAAATAACATTATTTGTACCCAGTATGTTGGATCTCCTTTGTGATTGTGTGGAAACATTAACTTTAAATTATTCGTTATCAGAACTGTTCCAGATCATCAAACTAGCACTCCTTTGCCAAGCGAAACAGCAGCCACTTCACAACCAACAGTTACAGTAGTTAGTGGAGCAGGTATTTAAGTTATTTAATGAAGAAGAAATATGCATTTATCAATACTAGATGGATACAAATGTCATGCTTAGTAAAAATTTAGATATTGAAATTATGTTCTGTGTTTTATGTACAATGGGTTTTTTTTACTTGGACAATTGGGCAGTAACATGTGTTATCAAAATGATGATACATCTTTACATTTAGTTAAAAATGTTTAAAGTGTAAATATCTTTTTAAGGATTTTATCAAAGATATACAGTTATATGAAATATCCTGTTATCAGTTTATATTACCAATAATAATGGTATTTGTGCACAATTCAAAAAAAAGTATTTGAAAGTAATTTTTGTAGTACAAAAACTGGCATTTTTAAAAAAAAGAAAGTAATTTTTTTTGTCAATACTATCAGGGAAGTATTTGCATATCACATTTGTATTGGAAATGTATTAAATTTATTCCTAAAAAGTAAATATGAAATGTTATGGTATACATTATAGGCTGCTACAACCATTTAGTGAACATTCCACCAATTTGGGTGTTTTAACATGCTTGATTTCTTTTGCTTGAATGAAGTTGGTGAAGTTAGTCTTACCTTTCAATTATTCTTCCTCTTAAATCCTGAATATTTTTATAATTTAAATTTTGGTTATCAGATGAGTAATATTTGTCATTAAAGTGTCATTAAAAATAGATTACTAAACTAGTAAAATTTATAAATTTAAAGCCTTGCCATTACATTACAATAAATGCTTTTATAATCGAAATAATTTCATTATACACATTTATTATAATCAAAATAATTTTATCAGATTTTTCATTAGAATCAAGTTTTTCCACCTTTAAGTTTTTTTAACCATCCATAGCAAAGGGGAATAACTAAAATAATAATACAGGCTTTTTAAAAGAACGAAAGATTGCAGTTATTTTTCATTTTGATAAATATTAACATTACAATAAGCTCAAAGAGTAGTAACTTAAGAAGTGTTGCCAGGACAGTATAATTTTGATTATTTTCAAGTAGTTTTCAGTAGATGCTAAAAGGTTTTGAGTTTTTAATCTCTTTAAATGTACATTTCCTGCCCTTTTAGGAAAATAATTCTATTCTTAGCATAATTTAAATTCATTAATGTACAAGCATTAATAAATGAAATGACCTATCTATAGGGTTAGCTGCAAATTCTCTTGACTTTTTGATGGTTGCGATTTAATATTGCTATATATAAACTGGAAGTATGATAAGGGATGTGTTTTATATTATATAGTATTTATTTGTAGCCTTTAAAATTGTGATATGAAGTTTATAACATGTCTCATTAACTCTTTTATCATTAAACAGTTGCTACTAAATGTTTGCACTGGATTATTTAGGTTTTATTTTTTATGTGAATACAATAAACAATAGAGAAAGCTTATTTCAGTTAATTACAATAATTTTATCACATCTCAGGCTTGAAAATAAGAAAGGATGATTGAAATTATTGTTCCATTTTTTTCTGATTCTATTATCTATACTTTTCTCCCTAATTTTTAAATCTTTGAAATATTGTTTAGTTTTTAAAGAAACTGAATCAATCTCAGACTCAAATATATATTTTCAAATCTCCGAGTGTAAAAATAGTAAAAAATAAGAGCCACCTCTGTCTGGATAAACAGTAGTAATTCTTATGCATTTTAAAACAAAAAAAAGTAAAACTAGATAATTAAACAAAGGTAAAAACCTTTTTTTAATTAATAAATAAAAAGCACAGGGTGTTATGTATTAAATTACTTACTATTACTGTTATGGCCTAATAAGACATTGCCCCTTTTTTGCCCATGAAAATGTCCACCAGGGAAGGGTATGCCAAAATGACAGTTGTATACATATATAAATATAATTTTATATAATAATTAATAAGTCATGTTGCCTTTTGTAGGTAATGTCTACTAATAGTAAGATGTTAAACAATTTAACCAATCAAAAGGTTTTTGAAATATTGTTTAGCCTTTTTGCACAGATCAGATAATATTTTCATGTCAAGGCCATAAGGGGTAAATCCTACATTTATTACATAATTTAGTGTTTGATTTGGAGGTAACTAAATTGATTATACTATTTGTTATATTATGTGATTTATGACTTGCTCATGCTTTTGACTAAAATAAGGAGATTTATGGTTACTAGAAGAAGGCATTGAAACGTAACTGTGCCTTTTGTTAAAGAATCAGTTTTAAAAAATGTTTCAGTGTAAGAAAACTATTTCTATTTAGATGATAAAATTTGCTGTTCATGTATAAATTTCATATTATCACATACTGTAATAAATGTAAATAGCAATAAAATTTGTTCAAAAAATAAATTGTCTGTACTAAAGCTTTCACTTGACTGTATATGAAACCTTGTTTTCAAAAAGGAATTAACGCTACATGTAAAATAAATAAACACATTTTTCATTTTCAAAATACAGCCATGTACATTGGTAGACTATTTAAACTCCTATTGTGTTTTTTACTCTTATTAAAAACTAGTGATCTCGTCCTGTGCATTGCTGGGGTCTCAGAATAAAGTTCAAAGAAACATGTTATGATATTTTTACTTTCTCGTATACGAGGAAGTATTGTAATCGTGCAAATATCGAAATAGGTATTTTACAGCTCCCAGAGTCGGAAAAACTAAGTTTTACAATTTTGTCCCTATGTCTGTGTGAGTGCATGTGAACATGGTAACTTGAGTACCGCTACAGTTATGTTGATGAAATTTCATATATAATTATTAGAGCATCAACTTTTCATCGATTTCCGGAATCCAGAAGTGGAGCTTATTTTACTTGTGGTTTTTCAAATGCCTATAGTTTGAATACAGTTTCAGATAGATAGACGAAATTTCAATTGTAAGTTAAAGATAAAATTTTCTACCTTCAGTCAAATTTTATTGTGATCGGAAGCAGTACTTTACGCTAGTTCCGATTTCTCAAAAAACTCATGTGAATTTATCAAGTAATATTCTGCACTATTATACACACATTGTTTGCTGTTCACTTGGTGCGCTTTTTTTTTCTTTCTAGAGATTCTATTCAATTTAAAAAGTTTAAGTAATTAAAAATAAAATGGATTAAAAATCAGTCTATATCCCGAAAAAGTTTAGAGGAGATCACTAAAGCTTAGTTATTGTAACGTTTTAAAATAAAAATATGATACAATGCAATGTAGATGTGTATTGAAGCACATTTATCATTACTGATAGTGTATTTTGAAACTCGTGATCTGATTTGATCGTGTAAAAAAAGATGATTGCTGCATTCTCAAAGTGATGAAACTCTACAGGAGTGTTTCTTTAACAAGTTAAAAAAAATATTATTAGACGTTTTATAAACGCCATAGTGACTAATGCAACTTGTTGGCAAACGGTGTATTTTAAGATGCGTGATCTCAATTTCTGAATTGGAGCATCAGTAAAAAAAATCAGATTGTCATTCTCTAGGCGACGAAACCGTACGGAAGGGATTCCTTGTGTTACAAAGTTGTTTTTAAAAATGACTCTTTATTTTTCTCTAAAAGAGGGTTATTCTTTTAGATTTGCGTTGCCCTCCGAAATTTAAGTTGCAGAACCCTTTCCAGGAGTATTCTCATTATTTTTTAGAACTGTAGGCTTCGTTTTCAGGAAAAGGAAAGTATCTTTTTATGGACGAAGGGAAACAACCGGGTTAATGTTTGCCAAATAATCTAAGCAGGGTTAATTCCCCTGATTATTAAGTTCTATATTATTCCCTATTTTTGTTGTTGAGCCCTTGGGCAGAGATAGTTTCTAATTTGGGATTCCACTACGCAAGCCCTATGTTGAGATTTTGTTTTTGCACATGTGACATCCATCGTTAAAAAAAAATCTCTACTCTTTTCACGTTTTCAAAATTTACCAGTGCCAGATGACCCATTGTTCCTTTAGTAAATTGTGTGTGGGATACACAGAGACAAAACAATATACTCTCCACAGCCCCCCCCCCCCCCCCGAATTTATCACTATATTATACAAATGAACAATTTCTTTAATCTCCATTTGGAATATTTTTGTGTAATGTGTCCTATTGAAATAATGACATTAGAACCTAATAGAAATAAATTTATAATTAAAGCCAAACTAAGAAAAAGTATCATATTATAAAGCAGTATTTTTCAATCAGTGATCTTGTTTGTTTTGTAAGCTATTATGCTGGACAATGAAGATCTTTATTGACTGTGTTAAAAGTTTTGGGAAACTATTTGAATTGTCAACTGTTTTTGCACTAAAAAAAAATATCTTGTTTTTAAAAAAAAATCATTTGGAAAATGATCTGTTGGCTGCACTACCTAAGAAAAAAAAAACCAACCTCACATCAGCCCCTTTTACATGGCTTACCGCTGACAAAAAGCTTTAAGTTTAAAGAGGAAGAGATAAGTATGTTCAATTTACAAGAAAAACAATGCTTGAAATTTCAGATTGGCCAAAAGTAAATTTTAGCTAACTACCAATTGTTTGGAAAAAAATACACCACCTTTTGAATATTAAAATAAAAAAAAAACAAACAAAAAGAACACACATTTGAAAACAATGCTATTGCATTTTTAATTTGAAATTAATACTAAACTGGTAGGTAAATGTTAGTTTTTTCTGCTAAAAAGTCACAGAGAAAACATTATTTACAATTGCTAACATAACTAAAATTAACAGAGGTATAAATGATAAATAATGCCCATCAGGGAAAACAAAAGAAGATGCAACAAGAAACAAGAGTAATCAAAATAAACTAACAAGTATTTCTTTTTTGTATTCATTAAACAAAAATTGAGAAGCATTACCATTTTTTGTTTGAATTTGACAAAGTATAGATGTGTACACAATTTCTTGGAAATCTAAATGTAAAATATATTAGAACTTAATATTTGGATCCAGCAAACTTCAAAATAACAACTCTTCAGTTAAATTTTAAATCCAGAATTAGCTTATTCTTGTGGTTAAGCAACAGCCAAGATATTATAGAAGCACACCACCAGACTTACATGCAAGGCTACACTATGCATCCATGAGAATTTATCAAGAAACTTATAATGGATGGAAGTTATAACTGGTATGGTTAAAACAAACAACATAAAATCAACTGAGCAGTAACAACTGTATAACAACAAAAATTTCAACATGTGTGAACAGCAACAATCTTGTAAAAATTTGACCATACTAACAAAAAAAAATATGAAAGAGAAACTAATTAAAAACCAACTTATTCAACTGAGTAATTAGCATAGAAAAAATACATATAGTTGCACTATAAAAATACACTTAAAAAACCAACAATCAATTTAGCAAAAAAAAGTACATTTCTTTTTCAGATAAAAATTAGATGCATTTTAAAAAGTGTGACTTTTTCAACCATTTTAAAATCACCATGAAAAATATGTAGTAACATCTAAAAAAATAAATAAATAAAACCCACAAAAAAACACCAGCTTGAAATAAATTACAATAATCTGGGTCAAAATAACCATTTGGTTGAAAGTGACAATAAACAGTATTTACAATTAAATAACTAAATTTAATTTTATAAAGTACAATAAATATTACAATAATAATATAAACTATAAATATAAGTTATCTTACAGAAACGGTTAAAATTATTAACAAACCAAATTATATGAAATTTAAACAAATTTTGTGCGGATAGAGATAAAATTAATTCGCCCGTATTAAAATTTTATCATACACTATACTATAAAAAAGCACTAATGATATAAAGCACAATGAACGTACAGCTTTAGAAGATAAAACAATTTCCAATAAATTTTTTTTAAAGACTGATTTATCAAATAATAGGTAAATGTTTGTGTAATTTGCTTTCGATTTTAGACTTTTTTTTTAATGAACATGATCCTCATCCAAAGAAATACAACACTTTTCTTACTGTATCAGGAAATTATTTTTAGAATCAATAGTAAAAATTGGGAACAACATGGTCAAGAGAAGAATATAACTCAAGGGTTGGTACTAGCATTGGTTGGCCTATTCTTTCATTTAGCACTCTTTGTGGGTGAGACACAGGAGACCACTGATCATGAGAAATGATATTGCTTTCAATATTGCCAAGATCTGGAACAGTGTGGTCACTTGGACTTCTTGGCATTGGTGGTGTCAGAGAAAGCCAGTCAGCGTCATCTGATGAATCTGAATCAGCATTTGCCATACTTTCATCTCTTACTATTAGTATATCTGGACTCTTTGGAGATAAAATTTCTGTCACGTTCTGATCCTGAACTTTGTTGCTGTTTAACTTGTCAGTAATAAACTGTGCAGATATTTGCGGCACAGTGTGGGGTGATATTCTACATCCATTAGCTTCAGCAAATGAACCTTGCTGTGTTAAGCTGGGGCATGATTCATACATGTTAAACCTGCTTAAAAGTGCTGTTGTGTAATTTTCTTCAGGTGGATTAAACCAATCTTCTTCCTCATCGTCATCACTAGAATCAACAGCTTGGTTATTATCATTCTTAGCATCACTTTGCCATAGGTGCTTATTTACTGATTCTTTATTTAACTGCTTACAGTCTCCCTTAGGACAGTTCCATATTTCGTCCAAGTCAGCTAAGGTTTCTTTGCAGTAAAGACTGATTCGTTGCTTTTTAACTTTTGGCACTTTGAAAACAGCATTTTCTTGATCTTGCATCTGGAGAGTATACATGCAAACCATTAGAAAAGATTAGTTATAATATAGATTAGATTTAGTACTAGTACTAAGGAAAAATACCATAAATAGCATAAATTTAATAGAGTTGACAGATCTAGAATCTAGTAGAATTTAAGTAATTAATATAATATAACTTAATATGTCTTCTTAACTCTTGTCTTAAAATTAATTAATTAAGGTATTAAATAACTTTCTTAAGCCAAGCCCTAAAGAAGCCGACTTAAGTAGTTGTTAAGCAAAGCACTAGATCTAGTTGAGTTAGACTCTCTCTGGTGCTTTGCTTAATTCGGCTTCTTCTTAAGGCGACTTAAGGGCAGTTTTAGATCTAACTAAAATCTATAGATAGGTCTAGAACAGGGGTCGGCAACCTGCGGCTCTTTTAATGTCAAGATGCGGCTCTCCAGTTCCATGCACACATAATGATAATTATTTTATTGTATGTTTAAAACTTATAAAAAATATTACAAACAAAAACATGATAAAAACACTCATCAGAGAACAATGAGAGTAGGTGAGGTAGAAAGTATATCGACAGCTGACAACTGCTTGAGCACCAGGCCCAGCCCCAATGCTGTGGCCAGCACAGTGGTGACGGTTCCATGCTTGCCAAAGCCCAAGTGTCGACTTTTTCGAATATTGTGAAATGGGGAATGTTATTTTATACAAAATGCATTTCTCTATCGGTCAGTATGCATTAATTTGACCTGAGTGACATGGTTTTTTAGTTATTAGTAATATTAGCTTCTACGGTTGAGCCGGGTACTGGACGGTGGGGTACGAGTTTACCGTGCGTTCAGTGGGGTGGAAGATAAGCCTGGTGAGAACCGAAGGCAGAAGCGACCGATACCCAAGCCAGTTAGTCAGAGTTTGCCTTGTTAATGAACTTAATGTCTGTCTGGCTATGGGAGACACCTCCTGTGCCAGTGGTGTCCGTAAAGAAAGAAATAAAAGTCATTGGAATTTAAAGTGGATTGGGATAGTAATAGTAGTAAGTAGTATAGTTAAATTATTTCATTACTAGAATCTAGATCTCATTTTATCATAGCAGAGCTGGCTAAAATTAAATACTGTAAAATGTTTTGTGCGAAATATTAGTATGTTTTTTTTAGTATAAATATAATATTAAATATATTCTTTCATTTTTTAAAGCTATTTATTTCAAATAAAAAAATCAAATGTAGATCTAGATATTATAGATAGATCATAGATCTAGACTCTATACTATAAGTCTATATCTAATCCCAATCAAATGCCAAAATATTAAAATAAAAATGATAGTGGCTCTTTAAATCTGGGAATTTTTTAAAATTGTAAATATTGGCTCTTCCAACTTGGTTGCCGACCCCTGGTCTTGTTAATTACTTGTAGAATCTGTCTAGAAAATCTGATCTAGATCTAGATCTAGATAATAGATATATAGAATCTAGTAGAATTATTATTCTATCCAGCTCTAGATTTTCTAGATCTAATAATTCGAATATTAGAAACGCTTACTTTTTAAATCAGCTCCGTGATTTAAGTTTAGAAATACAAATAACACTACAATACGTCTACATCGACAGAACAACAAAACAATGACACTAGTCTGGCGACTAGGAACCAAGACACATTAAATAAGCCTAACCTACAAAATGCGATTAAATGGTATTAACACGAATACAAATACTTTCAAAACGATATGTTGGAATCCATGTAAAAACAGGAAGACTGGAGGAGAGAGATAAAATAGGCAAATTACAGTCTACATATAGTGGTTTTATATTGAAAATCGAAATAATTCATATCTTCATAAGTCCTAACAGAAGATAAATTAATAGAAAAATGGCATAGATTTATTAATTATAAAATAAAACCTAACAATTTAGATATTGAATACATTGATCCATACTTTTAACCAATTTTTTACGTCCTTTATTCAAAATACATTTAATGATTTGCGACACAGAAAGTAGTTTAGCTAAGGGTAAAGGAGTGAAATTAAAAATAGTTTAGCAAGGACAAGATCTAGATCTATATCTTCTGGATTAGTCTATATTGGATAGTAGCTTTATAAGTATATTTTACTATAGGCCTAATTAATATTTTTTAGATTTTGCTAATTCTTCATTTATTTGCATGATTATGAGCATGGTATCGATACTGTCAATTATAAAATTGCAGACGTTGTCGAGGTCATACACTGGTTTCTAATTTGGCGCCACATAAACTTCTTCAGGTAGACATGCCCTTGGCCTAATGTAAAATGTAGGTTAGACCCAGCCTATCTGATTGGTGAATACTCATGATTTATTGCCAAGTAGCTACAACAAAGCTATTTTGTACAATCTAATTTAAATGAACCTTTAGTTATTCTAAATTGATAAAAAAATTAATAAAATATATCTCAATAACTTTCTTTAGTTTAGTAGATACTCTATTTTATCTAAAACAAAACCCTTGCTTAAAGATATAGATCTATCTACCAAGGCTAAACTAGGATCCAGTTCTAAATCTAGTCTAGATTTAGATTTAGAATCTAGTAAAAATCTGGTAAGCCTTTCTCAAGATGGCTGTTACAGATGTTCTGGAGAATAATAATAATAATAACATCACAATTCCTGATCTAGAACTACATCTGCAATTTGACGCATAGATTTTATTTGGACGATTAAAAAAGTAAATAACCAATATCTAGATCTATACAATTACATAATAACTCATTGCTTTATTATTTTCTTTTTCTGTATAATAGTACTGGAGCTGAGAGCCTGAAATTGGCTGAGAGGACAGAGGTGGCTGAGATATTCTTCTCACATTCTGACATTTGTTTGATTTTGTCTGTCTGTCTACTAGCATCTAGATTCTAGATCTAATTCTAATCTACTTTTTAGAATCTACTAAAATCTAGATTTTAGAATATTGTATCTAGATCTAGAATCTAAATATTAAAACTTAACATTAGTTAGTGGTTCCTATGACTATGACCACCCACTCATGTTTTCTTGTCAGCAAAGAAAAAATTTAGACTAAATTTTTAAAGAACTAAAATCAAGATTGATATTTTAAATTCTAAAGTTGGCTAGGGTTAGGGCTAGAAGTCTGCAGTTGTAAACACAGACATGCGCAGTACCATCGAAAACATCGCCGTGAAGGCAAGTAGTAGTTTCTTTCCAATGCGCATGCATATCTTTTTCCGGCTAGCATCGGCCATAAAACTTACTACTTTAACATAGTACAAAGGTAGGTCATAGCCTGAGCAATAGCTATATGACATAGACTTTTCCTACCTATTGCATCAATTATGTGTAGTAACACTAGATTGGCGAGTCAGTGCTCCATACAAATACAAGGACAACAGTCTTTGGCCATTTCTTGCATTGGATAACCTTCTGATTTATTTGTGTACCAGACGATACAATAAAAATATTATGTGATGGTTAAATAAACCATAGGCCTACATTTTAAAATAAATAATAGGCCTAATATTTTAAATCTTTATTCTGTATCATATTTGTGTACTATGCAAAAAAAATCATTAGGCTCTTTAAATTTTCATGTAACTAATCCAAAACCAAGTCTGTGCCAGACTACAGGCTGTTATATGGTCACTTTGTAAAAATAACTGAAAGTATACTTCTCTCTTGTTCTCAGTTCAACTATAATTTTGCTTGCCTTTTAAAAGTAAAAACTACAATACTAAGACAACAGGTAAAGGGAGAGTTCAACTCTTTTATTGATTTCCAACAAACAAGTACTTTATAACCTTATTCTTAAATTATTCTTATAAAATCTGATTACTTCATTTTTACCTATATTGTAAATTTCTGCTATTATTATTCATTTTTCTTTATAGGTGCTTTTAGGATATTTTAAAGATTATCTTAAATTCAAAATGTGGCACGAAGCCAGAAGGCAGGAAAAGAAGATTCGGGGAATCATGGTTGACTACAAAAGAAGGGCAGATAGGAGAAGAGAGTTCTATGAAAAAATAGTGAGTTTACCCAAACAAATAATTGAGTTATAATAGCTTTGTTTAGACATTCAATGTACTAATTTACATTTACATAATTTTTACATTTACAAATTTAATGTAAAATAAACCAAGTAAACAGTGGTTTATCTTCATTATTAGATAATTTTTTATTTTCAAAATCTCCTTTTAAAGAAACAAGACCCAGCTCAATTTTTGAGAATGTATGGCCGTCCTGTGAAGATTCACCTAGATCCAGCTGTTTCTATGGCTGCTGAAGGACCGCAAAGCATGTAAGAATATAGATATCTTTAATTTTTCTCTGTGATCTTTAATCATTTATTAGCCTACACTCTTATGGTAAAAAAGAATAACTAAATTTGTATAATTACTCAGATTACATGTGTAAATAAGTTAACTAATCAATACATTTTTAACAAAGAAGTTTTGAAAATACATTTTTAATAGTCTTTTTCAACTTTATCAAAATTAGGATGCCATGGCAAGGAGATCCAAATAACATGATTGATCGCTTTGATGTTAGAGCTAACCTTGATATTATTCCTGAATATAATTCCCACAAAGCACCCAGGTATACAACTGTATATTAACTATATAATGGAAATATCTTATGCTACTCTCGCTATATTATCTAAATTTCACTATTAAATGTCCATTAGATCTGAACCTGATGATGAGGATGAGCGACTTGCCAATTATGAACGCTACAGAACATTAGTTGAAAATGAGGCAGCAGGATGTAAGTGTAAATTGGTATTTTCATTTATCTAAATTTAAAATAATTTTGTGGTCTTTTGTGATCTGAAGAAAATCAATGACAAATTTTGTTGGATGCAATGGTAAATGATCACATTTGATTACAAGGTTCTCCTGAAAGCAAATACATTTTTTTTTAAAACATTAATTTAGTTAAATGTAAGCTGTAACATTTTTAATAAGCTACTGTAAAAAATAAGAACTTCTATTACACATTTTTAAAAATACTTTAGTACAAAAATGTTTGCTTATTATTATGGGATATTATTCAGCATTGAACATTCCTGTTAAAAGTAAAGTACATGTTTAGACCTAATGATTCTTGTGGCAGATTAAGGGGAAATGATCAGGTTCTTTTCTATTTTTTACAATGTAACATCTGGTTGGCACTTAAAAGTAAGTACTAAACAGCAAAATAGTTTATTAACAATTTCGGTTGTCATGGAAACACGGAAAAAATCTTCCATTTTAATTTTTTCTGCACTTGTAAAAACGCTAAGGCTTTTTTATGTATGTTTTTAAAGCCATCAAGTTTACACTGCTTATATTTCAGTATATATTAAAACTTGTCATGACAAGATTTTGATAAGGCTCCTAGTCTGAATTCTACAAGGTCCGAAAAATTGCACTAAGTATGCGAAAATTTGAAAAGATTGCATCTTTTACCATAAACTTTTGTTCTTTGAAAGCCATCAAAATTCCCTTGTGACAAAAGTTTTATTATTACATGAAGAAAAATACTGAAATCATGGTGAAAATTGTTTTACAAATAAAAAAGTAGTAGGCTTTCTAGTGTCAAAAAACTGCAAACTGAGAAAAATAGAAAAAACCAACAAAAACTAGGTCAGGAAAATACCAATTCTGTGTGATTTGTAAAGCCAGCTGAAAACTTTGGCTGTTTCCGATTTGATAGAAAATACAATTAACAAATACCAAACAAATCTAGCCTTCCAATGATGCAAAGAACAATATTATGGTGGATTTCAAACATTTTGTAGTGAATGTGTATTGTATATTTTTTTCATACATAGGGTCATACATTTTTAGTAAAAGATTTTTTTTAAGTTCTTACTTAGTGTTGAAAAGGTAGTTCAGTTAATACTGAACCCATAGACCAAACACTTATTAAACTATTATATCTTTTTTGCATAAATTTCAGTTTTCTTTTTTTGAAAACCCCATTAAACTTTGTCTTTAACAGTAACTGAAGAACAGTGCCTGCATCAGATTTATTTAGATGAACATTTTGGAACAATCAGCAAAGGGAATGAAGAAGAAAAAAAAAAGTAAGCTTTAGTTTGTATGATAAAATTTATGTTGTAAAAAAAAGTTGACACTTTTAAAAATTTTTTAAATTTTTTCCTCTCAGAAATTCAGAAAAAAAAGCTGCTATAGGTTTTGTTTACGAGGATAGTACACCAGCTGATAAATTGGCAGATGATGATAATGACAGTGAAGAAGAAAGTGAAGATGATTTAGAAACAGCAGATTTAGGTTAGCTGGTGTTTTTCTTTATCATTTAGAATTGTAAAAATCAGAGAAATTAAGGCTTTCTTGAACTCACTATGATCATGAGAAGGCCTACAGGTTTGATATCCCTTGTTTGTCTCAAATAGCAATTGTTCATGTCATGAAGTTTTCTAATTTCTATAGTGAAAGTATTTTTTTCTTCAAAATATCATTAATTTAAGATAACTATCTAATTCCAGCTATTACTATTAGGCTCTTTTAAGTTTAAAAAATACATGTACCTTTGAGAAAAATCATAATCATTAAATTGAAAACAAGAGTACAAATGAAAAGTTCAATTTTGAAAAAAACTATTTTCTTTATTGTAATGAAACAGATAGTATTAGTTACCTCACAAGTTTTCTTTTCTGTAAACTTGTGAAATTTAGAACAAAAATGTTAACTATAAGGTAAAAATTTTAACTAAAAAGGACTTTTTAAATTTAAGATACTAGCTATTAATTTGTACAGTAATAGAATGAGAGGGATATTTCAAACTCTTAGCAAAATATTTGAAGATTACAGCTTTTTTAAAAAAATGTGTGCAAAAACTATTTGATTTGAAATTTGACTGCTGTGTTAACAATTATAACATTTATATAAATTTGACTTTGCTTTAACTTTTAATTTCCCAGTATTTATTTATTTTTGTCTCAGATGTTACAATAGACATAGATTCATTGACCCCAGAGCAAACAAAAGAAGTGAATTTGTGTGCTTCACAATATGGCATGAAAGATGATGATTTTAGCAGGTATAATACATTTTTATTTCTTCTGAATAGTTTGCTCATATTAAGCATTTTTGATAAAAATTCAGTTTCATAGAAGAATGTTAAGAAAAACTTTTCAAATAGAACAGTTTTGTTGTTATAACTCATTGAGTTTTTTTTTAAAAGTTTAAAGTTTTTTCTATCTTCAGTTTAAAAGTTTGAAGTATTTTCTATCTTTAGGTTGTTGAGGAAGGACAAGGAAGAATTAGAAGCCCTTAGAGAAGCTAAACAGCTGGAAGAGGCCAAAGCCCAATTTTCAGTAAACCCACTTGTTTTTTGCATATCTTAAGCTTATAATTCTATAAAGATTTTAAATTGTATTTAGGTATTATAAGTTAAAACTTAAATTTGGATAGTGATGGTAAGGTAACTTAAATTACATTTTTCTCATCGTTTATACTGAGTGTAGTATTTTCAATATGTTTGAAGGTTATTTTGGTTAACAAAAAATTAATCATTTAATTATCATTAGGTAATTTTCTTTTAGCTAATAATTTTGCCAAAAATATATATTGTAAAAATATAAGTTGAAAAATCCATGGATATTGTAATTACTAGGAAATTTAGAGATATACATCTACATACAAATTACCAGTGGTATAAAAAGTTAAACAAAGAATTGCAGTTTTATTATGAGGCAATAATTCCACTTTTTCAGTTCCTTTTTCTTTCCAGTTTCTAAAACTAATGCAGTGAATTATTAAAGACAGGCCTAAAAAATTCCACATTATTGATAGCTACAGTTTAAAAAAAAAAATCTTAACAGTTATAATTACACAGAACATTTCCAAAATATAATTGGGGAATGATTCTTGTTTCTGAATTTCTTTTTATTTTTAAAAAAAAAATTTCAATGTGGTGCATCTTTGATTTCTAGGGACGCAAATCAAGAAGAGAACGTCGCGCTATAAATGAAAGACGTCAGAATCCACAAAGATTTAGCAGACCAAGGTAGAAAATACAATTTTAATGAACAATTTATATTTGTTGGAAGTGAAAAATAAATAATTTGGAAGTTGAGTGAGAAATTTAATCACTTATATTAAATTATTTTTAAAACTGGATAGTATCATAACAGCATATCAAACACATAATTGGTGTATTATAATGAGGGGAGAATTGTAGAATGTTTTTAATTTTGTCACTGCAGATATGTTCAAGTAGGTATTTAAAAAAATCCTTTTCTTCACCAAAATGATCTATAAAATCTGCTGTACTTTTGTAGTAAAGTGAAGTAATTTTTGTGTTAGAATTATTAATTTGACAACACATTTTGTATTGATTGATAATGTATTCAAATGTTTGCCATGACTACTATTTATATTTAGTTCTTTTAATAAGAAATTCATTGAATTCATTTATTTTTCAATAGTTATGCTGCTAGAGAAAGTCCGAAATATGAACCATACAAAAGGTAAATTATTTCTTTGTTAATTTCTATTAATAGTTTAAAATTGGATTCATAGTGCAGTACAAACCAATGAAATACCATGTTTTATTGTTCTGTCTTGTATATTGAATATTTTAATATCTAGGCCAGGATCTTCCTCACGGTCTCGTTCACGGTCTCGATCAAGATCAAGATCATCAGAAGTGGCCCCTGTGACATTTATTACAAGTTTTGGAGCAGAAAGTGATGATGAAGGTGTAGTTCAGGGACCTGCGCTACCTAAATCTACCAAACCAGCAACACCACTTAAAAGGAAACCATCCCCAGAAACTTCTAAGTGTGAGACTCCATGGTCGGTGTTTGGCTTAGTTCATTGTCATTTCGGGATTTTAACATGGTTGGGATTACAGCGTCCTGTTTCCAACTTTGAGTTTTCTAAAACAACTAAAGTGGACTTTATAATTTAAGTGGGAATTTAAAAAATAGAAACATCTAATGGAAATTTCAGCAAGCAAACTTTCTTACTGGGTTTTACTGGAAGGATTCTCATTAATGTAGTAAGATGTTGGTTACTTACCATCTACAATTATATTTTAAGCCTAACTGGTTATTAGCACGTTTAATTTTCAAGTAAATGATGCATTTTACTCGACCTAATTTTGTTAACTAACAAGATCACCTGAAAAAGAACATTTTCCAAAAGCTTGTGTGACACACTTTACATTGTTGAATATAGATTGGTCATAAATCCAACAGTTTAAATAGTAATATATCACTGATTACACATCATTGTTTATAAGCTGTTAGCATCAAAGGTGCAAAGAAAGTATATTTATAAGTTGTGATAGCTCATGGGCAAAGTGGAAAATAAACATGATTTAGCAGTCTAGTTCACCAGCAGTGCTTTACACTCTTAGCTGCTGCTTTGGGCTGCTGTGCAGTAGTGTTATCCCAGTCACAAAATCTTATTGTAAAATACAGACATTTAAAAGCTTTTTCAGAGCACAGTGTACACAAAATATTTGCTTTTGCTGGAATGTCGACCAGCATTATAAAAACTGTACATGCATGTACTGTCTAGTATATATAGCTGTGTAGAGGAAGTAAATTTTCAACCTGACACAGAAACAGAGCTATTTTAAAATCAAGCCTTGTTAAAATTTGGAATAAGGCGGTTAAAATAGTGCAGAAGTGATTATCTTTGTTACTATGTTTTTAAAAAGAATCTTTTCTTTTTCTCGTGTCTTTAACACAGGCTCTTACAGGATAGTTCAATCAGCTCTAAAAATAAAGACACCTCTGGCAGATCTTCCTCTAGATCTAGTTCAAGGACTCCGCCTGGGCACAGGAACCGGTCCAGTAGTAGTAAGTCAAGTCTTTCTTCAAGCAGGTCAAGGTCTAGGTCCAATTCCAGATCTTTGTCTAAATCTGGCTACGGAAGAGTTTCACCAAGTAGAAAAGGAAGTAATGGTAAAAGCTTAAACTTCTCAAGACGAAGTCATCGGTCTCGAAGTTCTAGTTCATCAAGATCACACAGCCGGTCTAGATCAAGATCGTCTGCTTCTTATCAACAAGCAAAGAAAAGGTTAGAACTTGACTCTCTTAAATAAATTGGAAAATATAGTATTCAATTTCTAAATTCTAGAGCTTCCTAACTTTAAAAGTTTAATGAGCATTTTGGCAATTTCTGTAAAAATATATATTAGTGAGTGAGAAATATTAAATAGGGATTTAGAATTGAAAATATAATCTTTTTCTTAAAATTTTTTTATTTTTCTCTCATCTTGAAAAGTCTAAGCAAGAATAACTTTTTATCTCTTTGTATACAACAATTCTTTAATTCCAGGTCGGAGAGCCCTGTTAAAAAGCCAGTTGTTAAACGGTACAGGAGAGAAAGTTTGTCTTCCAATTCAGAACTAAGTGGTGTTGAGTCTGATGATGAAAAAAAATTTATAGCAAATACATCGCGCTTGAAAACACCACCAAGTAAAGATTCTGACACAAAGTAAGACTTTTATAATTGAAATTTTTAAATGACTTCATGATTAATTGCGGTCAATACAATTATATAAATATTCATTCTCTTAAAAACTACTTATGAACATTCATTCAATATTGATCTGCAAAACAATAACTACTAATTAATAACTGAAATTATATTGACTTATTTTATGTTCTAAGCTAGGCAGTAATAGGATAATAGACTTGTGATTTCTGAAAGAAAACTCCTCAGGAAAATGTCACAAATACATTTTAACTGAAATCTGAACACAAGGCTCACACAATTTTTTTAACGTATAGTGTTTTGGTAAAACCTTGATGATTTATTTGTATATTTCATACTGAGCAGGGTATTACAGTAATTCATTACTGAATGTGAAATTAATTTGTAAATTATTTACACTTAAAAATCTTTTATTTAATTTTTGTTTCTGTGAACATATGTTAGAACTATGAGATGGAGCAGCCTAGCGGTAGAGAGCTAGATTGCTAATCCGAGAGTCTCGAGTTCAAAGCCGGGTTCAAATCAGTGGAATGTCCCTGAGTCCACCCAGCTCTGATGGGTACCTAACTTCCGTTAGGGAAACAAAGGCGGTTTGGCATAGTGCTGATCACACTATCCCTTTATATGCTGACTTCTCTGAAGCAGATGAACTCTACTTCATCTGCCCCATGTGTCTAGGGCACAAGGGGGAAATGTTAATGATGATATTAGTACTGTTGATAAACAGCAGTAATTTTAAAAAATACAATAATTTTTTTTTTAATAAATCTGTATTTGTACCTTTTCCAGATCTGAATTATCAAAGAGTGGTAAAATAAGCAGCAAACCTCTTCAATCTCAAGTCAGTAAGAGCCTTTTCCTTAGTACATTGCATTCTATCTTTTTAATACTAGTATCTCTTTAAAGGTGCTACCAGGGCAGTATCAACAGTTGTTGACCATTTTTTGTTGTTCCATCATTGACAGAAATATGTTTAAATTGCATCATTCATTACCTGCACAATTTGTTTTAAAGAAAACAACACTTCATCCTTCATTAGTTCATTTGCTGTTTTAAAAAAAAAAAAAATGAAAATTGTAAACCTTTTATGCACCAGCCATAAAGATTTTATCCTGATTAACTACAAAGCATTTAAGTTCACCTCTCAGCTAATTATGTTTTGTCTTAGTCATGTGAATATTTTGCCAACAGTCAAATTGTATTATTTCTTACAAAATCTGAATTCTTACTTCTCACATTCTTACAGAGCTTATCACTGTCTGGTTTAAAAGACACGCCTAAAGAGAGACTTAAAAGGAAAATGCAAGCTCAACTTAGCCGGCAATGTGAGTTTTTTATTTTATTTAATGTTTATCTGATATTAACTGTTACTTCCCTTTAGCTTAAAAAATTAAATCAGTGTTTGCATCAGTAACATCAACTACTTCCTTTTTGTTGATAGTTTTCATTTTACCAACTTGAAACAATCCATTTTTGTATTGAACATTTTTCTGAATTGTCTGTGTCCATGATTTTGTAGCTTTATTTTTTTAGAATTCAGTCTGCTAGATGGATAGTACATTGTCTATTGTTATTCCTTTTCCCTCTAATTCTTTGTTTTGACAAAAAGGAAAGACATATATATATTTGTTTTCTATTTACTCATAAATTTAATATATAGAGAGTTTTATTTGAAAATCATAATTTTGTTTCAGTTAAAGCAGATAAAAAAGCAGAAATTACAAAAATTACCAAACAAGAGCAAGAAAGACTGGTATGTTTTAAAAAAAACTAAATTATTAATCCTAAAAATTTTTGCAAGTCAGTTTTAATGCAAACATGATAATTTTGTACTTTTTGTTTTTAAAGGATAGAGAAGAGGAAATCAGAACCTTAGCCCTTGAGATGAGGAGGAGGGAGAGAGAAAAAAGGCACAGAGAACAGGAAGAAGAAGAACGTGAGAGACGTGCAAGAAGAAGAAATCGCCACACAGGAAAAAGTAGCAGTAGTGGTGAAAGCAGAAGCAGAAGTAGCAGTAAAGGTAGCAAATCAGCCAGTCGCAGCCCTATTAAAAGTCGAAGTCCTCGCAAGAGTCCAGATAATAAGAAAGAAGATAAAACTGTAGATAAAAGTAGGCTTGGGAGATATGATGATAGGAAAAGGCCTTCCCTAGCTCCACCTCCACCACCACTTATGGAGGACAGAAAGAGGGATGGGAGGAGAGATCAGAGTAGATGGGATAGAGACAGTGGCAGATCCAACAGGACAAGAGGAGGCAGATGGGAAGGTGCATCACCACAAGACCAAAGCTGGGAAGGCGCACCTTACAACAGTCAATGGGGAGGGAATAGATCTCAAGATTGGGGGGACACTTCATGGCAGAGCAGGTAAAACATTTCTCTCTACAGTAGGTGCTCTATCAACCAAAAGGTGAGACTGTTGTTTATAAATTTTACTGGTTCACTTTTCTCTTCACAGTAGGTCCTCCTACAACCCAAGAGTGAGACCTCCATTACTCAAAAGACCAACTTCACCTTTGATGTCTAGACCGAGACCTCCTAATGACCCAACACTTATGGAAGAACCAATGGATTTCTCTTGATGCCATATGTGTGCTAGTATGCCAGTTTGTGAAGCCAGTTGGTACCTGTATTAAAATGATGTGGAATAAACTAAAGCATTATATGACAAGAAATAATTTGCATAAAATGTACAAATGTCAACATCTTTATTAACTTGTAGAATTGATGTTTGCAATAACTAATGTCGGCAATTTTTAAAAATTTGTTACAATTATTAATAATTTTTACTTGGGGGTCATCCATTTTTAACATCCACAAAATTTTTTTAACTTTAAGCCCCAGACTCGTCCACCTTGGACGCCCAGATAGTAAATAGATCTTACACAACTTAATTTCGAATTGATTAACTCATTGATAAATATTAAAAGTAGCATTGACAAAATTATAAATACATGATGAATCTTTTCCCATAAGATTTGTAGAGAATGAAATAAAATTATTTCTGGTGCTGTCCACACCATTAAAAGTTCATGACCCTTATTTTATTTCCTTCATTGCTTGCTTTATAACTAAGTTACTAATTTTATAAATATAGAATCTAGATGCCATGATTTAATTTTGCATGCAGGTCGAGTGAGTGAGTGTACTATATAATTGTTTAATATTAAAAGTAAATACATGAATGACTACACCGCCCCCCTCACCCACCTCCATCTATCCACAAAGGTCTACTTTTTTCAGACCCATTCCCCACATGTGGACATAAATTGATGACCACCTGTTTTGGTATCTCGATCTAAATTAAAACAAGGAAAATATAGGTTTGAAAGAAAAATGTTGCTTGTTCTGTGCTAGGTAAGAATGTTGACATGTGATCGTAGCTGTACTTACCACTGAAAAATAAATGTTGTGTCTGGTGTGTCAGATTTTTTTTTTGTTGATGGACAATTTTTTGTTAATACTTACAATAAAGCATATGAAATAATTGTCTCCTTATTTTTATGTGGTTGAGTTATGAAAGCCTAAAGTAAAATAGAAAATTAAAGCACCACTAAAAATATTTGATTAGTAGGGTAGTGGACTGGTATCTAATGTCCAGATTTTTGGACATGTGTGCGGTCTGGATACTAGCACTAGAAGGCTGACAACTCACAATTTAGGTGGGTTTAGTGAATTGCAGGTACTAGGGTTTTAATGGCACTGGTGCAGTTAATATGAAGTACAAACTATATATATATATATATAAACGTATCTGTCCAATGGATCTTTAGATCTGAAATAGAAACCTAACTGCTTTATCTGTCTTAAATAGGATATAATATATATATATATATATATATATATATATATGTAACGAGCGAACAGTTACCCTGCTCGCAACGCCACATGTTACGAGACTATTTGCCTGTAGTGCCAAATGTAACGAGTCTCTGGCTACCCTGGCGACAACGCCAAATGTGACCTTCCCGAGTCTAACCACTCATTCCACACAACATTGACCACAGCATAGATACTCGAAGATGCAGGTTCATTATTGATCCTTTTATTACATGAATCAAAGAATGCTTCACAATAATATAACGAATCAAGAGAGATGTTTCACAATAATAGTCTGAATCAACGGACCCCCAACAGTCCTCACTAGGCTTCATCTAACTGAATACACATGTCTAACGTCCTTCTTAACACAATATAACCAACTGGATACTGCCACACAGACTCACTGAGAGAGAGAGACTGACGGACTGACTGACTGACCGACCGACTGAGAGAGACTGACTTTCTGAGAGACCGACTTTCTGAGAGACTTCGAGCTCAGCCGTCGCCTTCCTTATATCCCCTTCATAATCGTACTCATATTCGGTCCTATCATAATCGTAATTGTAATCGATTCTAATCGTTACATCAGACTGTTAATTACGCCGCTTCTGTCGTACAGTCCGATTTTAATAAGCCACCTGCATCCTGTCACATCAAAGTTGACAGACCGTCTTTCGTATCGCTTCCCGAGATACTACGCCTTGGCATCAGCCAACACCTGCACTGTGACGTCAGACTGTAACACGTTATGTCTCTTGGTAACTTCCCCTAGTTACATCCACCCCTGCCTTTTTTTGTGTGTTATCAACCACAAACAACGCTTGGTAGGTGCAGTCCTTCAAAGTCCATCGCACCACCGTAAAAAAAATCCATTGTTCCACTCACTGTCAATGTCGTCACATTCGTATAAGATTGACAGTTATCCCTATTTCACATATCCAATGTGTCTACATCATCTTCCTCAGACACAAAACAGTTCTAGAATTCACATCCACCTTTTTTCGTTTGGTGCCTTCACCAGTTCACTTTTATGACTTTTTGAACAGTCTGTTTTCATACCAGCGCGACCATGAAAGAATTGATGGTTGCTGACAAAAAATTTCGTATTCTTTCTGTTTCTCAAACTTCTCCGCGGACCACTTATCTGATGGTCTACTGTCTCTCTGCTTTTGGAGGGACCGGGATCCTCCTTGTTGCCGGTATCCTCCCCTTGTGTGTCGCTGTTGTTCTGTTGATGGTGACATGGTTCCGGGATGGGTATGAGAATTTCCGTTATAGTTTCCGGTTCCCTAATTGTCTTGGGTTTCCTTGTGTGTAACTGCTCTCCTTGACTATGACAATATTTCTTTAATTGAGCAATATTCGCCCACCGATCCGGTTTGGTGTGATCGATGGGTCTTATCTTAAAGGGGCCACCTGCTACTTTAGGCATCTCCACGACTTGCCATATCTCCTGTCCCCAGAGATCGTGGATTTTGTTTCTGCCTAATGGGTGGCTACGCAGTAATACCCTGTCGTTCAGTTTGAGTGGCGGGTCCTTTGTCTGTACCGGCGGTTCCCTTCGCCGTGCTTCATGTTCTAGTCTTTCCTGTACTACCCTGTACATTTCTCTAATTCGTCTCATATGTTCATTCACATATTCCAGTGCAGTGTATGAGCCAGTCATACTCTCCTTTTTTCCTAGGAACAAGTCAAGGGGGAGTCGAGCCTCCCGTCCGAACAGCAACATGTATGGCGAAAAGCCGGTTGTGGCATGGGGTGTGCAGTTGTATAGATATACCAACTCTGGGAGAAAATCAGGCCAACGTTTTTTCTGTTCAGGTTCTAGAGTACGCAGCAAATCATGCATGCTGCGGTTGAACCGCTCGCACTGTCCGTTTCCTTTCGGATTAAATGTGGTTGTTCTAGATTTGTTGATCCCGTAGTGGCTGCACAGTTGGTTAATTACTTCTGACTCAAAGGCCCTTCCTTGGTCAGAGTGTAATTGTCTTGGTATGCCATATTTGATGAACCAATGTTCTATCAAGACCTTTGCCACTGTTTTGGCAGTCTGATCTCGTGTGGGCACCGCCACAGTCCATTTGGTGAAAACATCAGTCATTACCAACACATGTTCCGTCCCATCCGATGATTGCTCCAACGACGTAAAGTCCATAGCCACAATCTCTAGTGGTTTTGTCGCTAATAGGTGTCCCGATGGCTGTCTCATTTTGACAACTGGCATTTTCGCATGCTGACACCTCACACAAGCCTCACAATGGCGTTTGACCTCCATTTCCATATTGGGCCAGTAACACCTTCGTCGTAATATTTTGTGCGTCCTGTCCTGACCCTGGTGTCCTGCCCTGTCATGTGCCAACCTTAGCACTTCTTCTCGTAATTGTCCAGGCACCACCACCTGGTGTATTGTCCCATCAATTTGGTCATGAATTCTCCGCATGAGAACACCATCCTGTATACTGAGACGGTCCCACTGACTCAGTATTTTCTTTGTTTCTCGACCAAATTGTTCTCTTTCCCTTCTTCCTGGGAATTTTTGTTCCTGGACGTGTTTCAACAGCGGCTGTAAGCCACTATCCGTTCTCTGGGCATTTCTTATTTCTTTGTGATTAAGGCAACTAAAATCACCAATGTCCATATGTCCGGGCTCTGTGGAAATGTGCTCCACCCCGGTCTGTCCGTTCTGCATCACTTGTACCCCATGAGGGATATCTGTTGACGCTCTGACCTCACATATTCCTGTCAGCGTTTCTTCCTCATCGCCCGGTCTCTCGTAAGGATTCCTTGATAAGGCGTCCGCATTGCCATTGGACCGCCCCGGGCGATGTTTTCTCTCTAGGTCAACGAGTGCCAATTCTGCTGCCCATCGCTGTTCGATGGATTCCAGCCTTGCTGTACTTTGAAGTTCTTTTTCAATATCGGATAATTTCTCTTCAAGTCTTGTTTGAGACTCTTTCATTTCTTCTAGTTTTCCAACACTGTTCTGTTGTCTACTATTTTTATTTACTTCTTCCGATAACAGACACTCTAAAGATGAACATTTCTCCTGTGCTTTTAATTTGCATGACCTTTCCCTATCCAGTTTCCTGGTTAACATTGAGATCTCATTCTTAAGTCTACCAATTTCCTTCTTATCATCATTTTTCTCTACCAACAAATTGTTCACTTGAAACTTTTCAACATCCCAGTTCATTTCACAGTTCATTTTTTTCATTAGTTGTGTTTTACCTTTCTTTTTCTCCTTACTGTGTTTCTGTGTCATTTTGTTTACTAAGTCATTACCTCGCCGCTCTGTAGCCTTGACCTGCCGTACAGAGGGCGATCGTTTCACCGGACAGTACCGTGCCATGTGTCCGGGTTGTGAACAGGACAAGCAAATTGGTCGACCGTCAGCCGTCCACCGGAGCGATGGAGCGGCAGGTCGCGGCTGTCCAACCTGTCTCTGTTTTGTCCCGTTTTTGCCCTGATTCTCAGCTGTTGACCTGCTTTCTAACCTCTCCAATCGTTGGTCAACCTTAACCAGGTGGGCCAACAGTTGAGCCATCATGGTCTCCATCGTGTCGGCCCCTGTGGGTGGGGATTGTCTCTGTTCCGGCACAGAGACTTTGTCCACCGAACAGTTCGATTGGTCCTCATCCTCGGACCTGCGGATCGCTGAGTTCCTGACCTGAAGGAAGGTCAACTGCGGGTCTTTGTGGACCTCCTCTTTCAACTCTCTTCTTAAGATCGGGGTTGCTAGCCCCTCGATGAAATGGTCCCTCAGTAGGCGCACATCAATGTCAGGTGTTTTGCCCTTTACCGAATCAAAGGCCCTGTTCATCCGGTGTGAGTACTCCATCACACTCTCTGCCATTCTCTGCCTTAAGCCTACGAACCCTGATAGCAGTTGCGATCCCGACCGTCTCTCCCCAAAGGTCTCCATAATCAGATCCAGCACCTTATCTGGATCTGATTGGATGGTTTTATCGTGGCATTTGACCTCTGCCCTAACCGTCTCTCCTATACTGCCCATCAGCAGTCTTAATCTTTCCTCTGGTGACATGCCTCTCGAGGCCCAGGCCGCTTTGACCTCCTCACTGAACCTGTTGGTTAAAGTTGGATCTCCGTCCCCGTAAAATTTGTTAATGTGGGACTCTCTGGGTAGGACCACTATATGGGTCTGCTTCTCGTCCAGAGTAGACATTTTATTCCGTAAGTAACAAAAGAAAAGAGTTCTTTCTTACCGTGTGTGTATGAAAAATTTTCCTCGTTCCTCAATTTTCACTGTTCCTGAATGTCCGAATTCACACACACACTAAACACAGTTATGAACTAGGTTGACTATGGGTGCCTAACGCGGCAAGTCTCGTTGAATTCATCCTGTCCGACGACGCCAATTGTAACGAGCGAACAGTTACCCTGCTCGCAACGCCACATGTTACGAGACTATTTGCCTGTAGTGCCAAATGTAACGAGTCTCTGGCTACCCTGGCGACAACGCCAAATGTGACCTTCCCGAGTCTAACCACTCATTCCACACAACATTGACCACAGCATAGATACTCGAAGATGCAGGTTCATTATTGATCCTTTTATTACATGAATCAAAGAATGCTTCACAATAATATAACGAATCAAGAGAGATGTTTCACAATAATAGTCTGAATCAACGGACCCCCAA